AAGGTCCCATTTCTCATTCTTTGTGTCTTCATCTGAAAACTTAAAGATGACTTAGTTTAAAGGGGCATGTGGTAAAAATCCAAAGGAGTTTTAGCAATAAGGGAGTCTGTTAAACAGGATATTGTGGTGAAGTTCGAGTGTGTGGCTCTCTCCTTTTAGAGGATGCACAGAAATGGGATGTGGAAGGTGACACAAGGGAGCTCAAGTTTGCTCACTGATCCTAACATGGGTGCAAGCAGTGCTGTCAAGACAGAAAGAGCATGGAAATACATGCTTTTCTTTGCTGAACAGCATTCATCACAATGAGCAATCAAGAGCTTGTCACGTATTGAGTAGTGCTTTGAAATAAAGAGACRGTTAGCATTGTAGAACAGTTCCTCCTCTTGGTTTTGATCTAGATTAAGTATTATCATGCTTAGTATATTACATAGTAATATATAGTTCTTACAATCAAAAAGGCTTTAAATATGTTTCATAGAATCATGGAATAGTTTGGGTTGAAAGAGATCTTTGAAAGGTCTTYAGTCCAACCTTCCTGCCATGAGCAGGGACATCTTCACCTGGAGCAGGTTGCTCAGAGTTCCATCTGACGTGGCTTTGAATGTTTCTGGAGATGTGCATCTGCCCCCTGTCTGGGTAACCTGTTTATTTGTCTCATTAAAAAAAAAAAAATTGCCTCTTATCTAGTCTGTATTTATTCTCATTGGTTTATAACTGTTAACACTTTTCCTATCAATACAGACATGTTTCTTGTGCTTCTGTTCTTTTGTTGGTCAAGCTATTGTTATCTAAGCATGTCAGCTGTCGTACAAAGCATCACACATTAAACATTGTATTAGAAAAAGTTGTTGGACTGTGACCTCCTTGAAAATGCTGTGTGTGCCGTAAAATGAGGTTTTTCTATGCTAATACACTGTAACAACTTGGAAAGTGGCAAGGTACTCATAGGCTCAGCTCCAGTATTCAATCTATGGTGTAGGAGATAGTTGGCTTGTCTATATTCTAGAACCTGACAAGCAGATAATAGATCTGTGGGATTTTTTTTTTTTTTTTTTTTTTTTTTTTTTTCCCCAGGGTGTGGCGGTAAGCTTTATGTAGAAGGTAAAAAATGTATTTTTTAGCTTCTGATTCCCATTTAGGTTCCTCATTTTTTTTTTAATCCCTACCTTCGAAATCTATTGTAATACTGAATGTGCAGTGTATTAGAGTAAGAAAGCATACATTCATTTGATTTTGCCTGTTGTGTCTCTAGATTTGTTAAATGTCCTTGAAAAGTGTTTGCATGAGAGGATGAGGAAATAATCTTAAAGAGTGAAGCCTAAGACAGATTTTGTTGGTATTTTCAACTGTCCTTGGAGGTAGTTTAGAGAAGGTAGAGCCGGAATGTTCTCCTTACTGGTAGGCAGGGGTGGGATTAGAGGTAACTGACACATTACAATGTGGAAAACCTAATTAAGTGAAATAAAAACAATTTCTTACCAGAATAGACACATTGTAGAGTGGTTGACCGAGAGCCCAACTTGGAATCTCTGTTCCTATCACATGCACAAACTTTGGGCAAGACTTTGTGCAACCTTTTGTGCTTGTTCATGCTTTAGGCAGTGGTTAAGACTAGATGACTTCCAGAGTTTGTTGACAACCTAGGTTTGTTTTATGATGATATGGAAGATTAATAATAGGTAAGAGACTTTGGTAGACCTAGGAAATACAAGGTAGGTGTTAACRGTAGGTACTAAAACTCAAGAGTTTGTGTTAATATTTTGTGTTATTTGTGAATATAAATTGCAGGCTTTAAGTAATAGTTCTGTTAGTGTTCTGATGAGGAATTTTACATGATGTTCACTTCTTTCCTAACTCAGAATGTGCAAGCATCCATTATTTCCTGGCTTATATATCAGCAGGATATATAGGAAGGAAATACTTGAGGGAGAATGATGAAAGAAATGAATAATTTTATTTTTAGCCGTAAAATAAATGATACGTAATTACTGAAGTTAAATCGCGGAATATGTTTTGGAAATATTATGTGTATTTATGTGTATTTTACCACAAACATATGTTTTGGAAATATTATGTGTATTTATGTGTATTTCACCACAAACATAGAAATTTAGAAAGTGCCGCTAAATGCCGCTACCAAAGTAGGAAACTTGCTTCATAGTCTAGATCTAACAAATATTGAATGGAGGATAGAGAAATTTTKAATCCTTACAAAGGTAGTTTGCTTTTCTGTTATAGCTGTCTTGCTGTCTGTGTTCATCTGTGGGCGCAGTAGTTTTCAACATGAGAGTAAAKACATCTGTTTCTGTGTTGATCATAATAGCAAGGAGTAGACCAGTTCTACTTACTTTTTATGAGTATGTTTTTGTTAGAATTTCTCATCAGGTCAGCTTWGAGACATAATTGTCCGCTGAGCTTTTTAAAATGTTTTAGCACTGACACTGCTGAGGCAGCTACTTTTGTTTTTTAAATGGTTTGTAATTTCAGTGCACAGTAGCAAGGAAGGGAGCTGGAGGAAAATGATCTCAGGCCCAGGATTTTTTTGAGTGAGGTTGGTGTTGTAGTACTCACTTTCGGGTCTAATAGCATTGCTGGAAGTATCTCTCCTTAAATCTGAGAAAGGTGCTGCAGTAGAAGATGTAGGACAAAATGTAATTTGTTCAAAAGCACCATCATTTTCCTACAGTATTTCAAGGTCCATAGAGAAAAGAGGACTCTGAATACAAAGGCTCGGCATAAGGATTCAGTTCCCAGCTGACCTCACAGTCCAAAGCAGAGAAGTTTTCTCAAGTATTTAACAGGAAGGATTGTTGTTTCGTTGCAGTCGGTCATAGCAGTTGACTTGAAAAACATTTACCTTGCTTTGCTTCTATCTCCTAAGCGAACTACAGCTGATCCTGACAAAATATGATCATCCTGGTTGAGGATGGGAACTCAATCTTTCTTTAAGTCTCACTGAGAAAAAATGAACTGAAATATTAGGGTCCTCAAGTGCCCTTTCAGGCTGTTGCTCTTCTTTTCAGGAGAAGGAAGGTGGCACATACAGACCATTTGGAATAATGACAGATAATCTTCAGTTCTGATTGCAATTTATATGTAACGGGGGTAATTACTGAGCATTTCCACAGACTAAAGAAGGGAGTTGGCATCTAATCTTAAACATTAGCTATAGTTCTTGTTAGTGTTGAATTCAGTGCAAAGATTCGGTTTACTGCTTTGCTTTCGTTGTGTAACTAAGTACACTGACTACCATGACATTCTGCTGCTGCTTGTTGGTCACTGTAACTAAGACAACTTGACATACAGAGTTTGTAGGTAAATACAGTGAAGGCACTGAGGATTTTATCCCTGGGCTTGGTATGTATATTTTTTATTGTAAAAGCTACATGACAGAGAAAGGCAGTGATGTGTTCAGTATTTTAGAGATTAGTTTTATGATAGATCAGGATTTTGTAAATTGTCATTAGCACTGTATCTGCTGCATTGAGCCATCATTCTTTAGAAGTATACCTGTGTTTACTAACAAAGTCCTTCTGGTTTTAGTTGTGTTCTTTCAGTCTATATGATAGGTGGAAAACCTGTGCTTTTTACATGACAAATTGGAATCTAATATTATTATCACTATTTGAAGGAAATGTCAGGAAGAGAGGACAGAGATGTGATTCTTCTTCCACTTCTATAATGTAGTTTTTTCAGAATCAGTGGAATTAATATGGAATTAATAGAATAGAATTCCAATAGAAATATGGAATTAATATGGAATTAATAGAATAGAAAAGTTATCCTTGATGTTTTCTTTGTAATCTCATTTTTCTGTTTGGAAATGGGAGGTCTCAGCTATTTTTTACTGGATCAGTCTCCTCTGCCGGGCTTTCCTTGGGCAGGGCATCTACTGGCAGACATTTAATACCTTGTTGAATTTGATATGCCATATTTAATAAACATTGTTTCGAAAAATACTTCATTTCTATAGTGGCATCTCTGTGAAGTGGAAAAAAGAGAATGAGTGTAATTAGTGATAGGAGTGTTATTTCATGACAGTCTTTTGGTAAGAAAAGCTATGCTGCTTGGTATTTCCTCATGAAGTAAACTCTGAATGCAGATTGTCTGTGTTAAACAAAAAGTAGTGGCAAGTAATTCCACCCTTTTTCAGCTATTAAATAATCAGTAATTATTTTTCTGTTGGAGTTTAGGACAGTATGAAAAATTGTATACTATGGGCAGTGTGTAAATGTTCAACAAATTGTTGTAATTTATTGTATTTCAAAGTCTGTTTTCCTGGCATTCTTTAGGTGTGACTATTTTTTTTTCCCTATCGTGATGAAAATAATGGTTAAGCCTGGTTCCATGGTGAGAAAAATAATTGGAGAAACCTTAGTGGGCTTCTGTGGGTTTTGGGTCATGTTAATAGCTAACTAATGGCCTGTGTGAGTGGGGCTTCCCAGAAACCTGACTTCCTGCACACATTTGCTGGAACTTGCTCTTTACCCTGCCCCTCCTCGATCCTGGCCCATTGGGCACAGCTGGGACCAGTATAAAAGAGGTGCAGAGGTGCAGGTAGGGATCCTGGACTCTTCGAGGCTGTAAAGGAACATGAGGTGCACACAGGTACGGGTGAAGGGTGTTTTGGGGACCAGAATGTCTGTGGGATGGGTCTATGAGGAACCTGAACACCCATTGGGGAAGGGAGGCTGTGTATGACATCTGGGTGTCAGGGCATGGGGTGGATCTGTAGGGGAGCYGGGGAGCTGAGGAACAGGTAGGGGGAGTTCCATAGGGAAAGAGGCTTCTGGGGAGTGCAGATCTGTAGGGGAGCCATGCATCCAGGTGAGATCCAGAGATGGCCCAGTTGTGCAGGGATGGGCCCACATGGACTGGGAGGGGATTTGTGTGGGACCCAGGTGTTTGGGAGGGGGAATCTGTAGAAAAATCAAGCATCTGGGGTGGGGTTTCCAGTGGGTGCCCAGAAGTCCAGATGGCTCTAACCCCACATTCTGCAGGTATCCATGGCGGGCTGGGTGCTGTGCGTGACGCTGGTGCTGGCAGCACTGGCAGGGGCTCAAGGCCAGACCTACCAGGCTTTCCTGCAGAAGCACGTGGATGACCCCCGGACCCAGCTGCCAGCGGCTAAATACTGCAACATCACGATGGCGCAGCGGGGAATGACAAGGCCCATCTGCAATGACACCAACACCTTCGTGCACGCCCCAGGCATGACTGTGGCACGTGCCTGCTCCCGGGTACCTGATGCCCAGGGGTACTACACCACCCCGAACAGGCTGAATGTGACCATCTGCCGCCTCAGTGGCCGGAGCACTCGGCCGCCCTGCAACTACCGGGCGGCACAGACGGTGCAGCACTATGTGCGTGTGGGCTGCCGTGGTGGACGTCCCGTGCACCTCGAGAATACCTTCCCATAGTGAGGCATTCTCGAGGCCCTGGAATGAGGCCTGGCTTGAGGGGTGCCGATTCTCCCCCCGTCAGSGGCTCTGTCAGTGGTGGAAATAAAGGAGTTGTCACAGGCTTTGGCTCCAGCATCAGTTTCTGGGTGGACCGTGCGCCCTTACCCCTCTCTGGGTGACTCAGCCTTGTCCAAGTTGGACTTGTCCTCCATGTACCTTATAAATCTCTGTGTTTTCCCATCCTCCTGKGTGTCCATATCYYGTTAGGGTGTCTCTGAGCTCTCCTGTRACTTCTCCCATTTCTTGGATGCTCCACAACTCTCATGGGTGCCCCATAGCCACCACCAGCCTCCCAGGCCAAAGGCAGCCTGATCTCCTGGATGTGCACCCAGGGCTCTCCCCAGTATCCTGACCCTTTGSGTWTYRYGTTGCTTTCCTGGATGCCCCATAAYTCCCAASMGGGTTTCCCAACSTMCTGTGTGCCTCATAATCCCCCSTGTRTCCCCCCAAATTCCCCCATATGTGCCCCATAAACTGTCAGGTGTCCCATGCCCCACATGCTTCTGACACCATCCCTGACATCTCCGGGGCTGAAGCTGCTCCCCCTTGGAACCCCCATGGGAATGAGCCCCGGCCGAGACTACAGAGAGCCCTAAATCACCATCCCACACACACACACAATGCAGACACAGCTTTCCTCAAGTCTATGGGGAAATGTTCCTGAAATCTAGGCTGGGAAACTTGATATAGTAAAATGAGAAAGGAGGTGATGTGATTTTGAACTGAATTTTATCTTTGGATGCATAAGGCTGTGGAGGTTCTTACAGGAATGTAGAGTGGGGTTTAGAGGTACTATAAAAAGAACATTTAATTTGATCTTCTCCCATTTTAGCTCAGTTTAGGCTTTTAACATAGATAAGTGCCATTAAAGTACTAGAGAGATTTTTTTGGACTCAGAAGACACTAGTTGTTTGTGAGAAAGAGTAGAGAGTTTTGTGATTTGTTCATCCGTACTATAGAGGACTGTAACAGGGCTTAACTCAGAAACTAAGAGAGCGAGAGAAAAATGCGGAAGAGGCTGTAGTTCACAAAATGCCCTCTATTTGGAAAGATTCCAAAATAAATTGCACTGTATGCTGTACAAATGGCTAACATTTGGCAACATTAAAATTAATCTCATTCTGGGGCAGGGTACAGCGGATTTGTAGTGCTCAGCAGTATAGTTCTATTTTAAGGCAAATTGAAGGCTCTCTTGATTCTTGRAGGACAGGGAAATCTCAGGAAGGCAGAATGCAATTTTCTATTTGGATGGCAGAAAGGCTGATCTTCCTCTTCAGGGTGTGCGTGTGTGCACATGTATGTGAAGGGTTGTGTCAGTTGTAATTACAGCTGCCAAGACTTCAGCCACAGTAAAATAGTCAAGTCTTTGGTTGATCCAATGYTTTCCATAAAGTGCATAATGGCCCAGGACTTTTTCAAAGTATATGTTAAGGTATTTGAAAACAGGTGGTGATATGAAGACACATTTTTGAAATGTATTGCTAAAACTGTTATTTGGTAAAAGCAGTCATGGTCGGTGGAAACATGATTAGTTTCCGGTGCATTGAAGCCAAAGATCGTGCACAGTTCATTATGTAATTTTCCTTGCTAAAGGCTGCACGTCAACATGGCAACTAAAAACCAAAGGACACTTCAAAAAAATAATAGAGACAAAACTAAGRGAAAGAAAACCCAAGTCTCTCATGAATTTTCCTTTACCTTTTAGTGTTTTCACTTCCTCTCATTCAGGTTTTCCTGTTTTGGTTTGAATTTAAAAAAAGAGATCAGCAGATCAGTAAATGCAACGAGCGCCTCTTTTTATGAACTGGGGTTTATAAGCCCTTTTCTGAGCAGTTCCAGTCTGCCCTATTTATCACTTTGCATTCCATGAATGAAACTGTTATGGTCAGTTTTGTTAACTGAGACAGGCTGGAGTCATGGTATGGAATATCACTGCTGCAATGCTTTTCTTTGCAGAACGGCTGAAACAACCAGCAGCTGGTTACCGGTATAGACAAGGAGGACTTSATCTGTAATTGCACATTGCTTTGTCCTTATCATTGAGATCTCAGTACCTTTCAGGAATTTCCTAATGTGGCATAAATAGGGCTTGACATGTGATTTCTTTTTTTTGTCAATTTTCCTAAGTGAGTTTTGAAACTTTGTTTCTGTGGTACTAAATTTTTGCTGTGTCTGACACTGATTATCATCTTTGCTGGTGAAGTATGTCCATGGAGTGGATATTGCATTTTGGAAAGGCAAGCAATAGTGCCTTTAAAATGTGGTCCTTTAAATTTTGTTGCTGTTACTTATTATGAGAAGATATTGAACAAATACGGGAACAGAAATAACCTGGAGAAACAGTGTTCTAGGATACATTGTGCATTATCAAAAAGTCAGCCTGAACAATGAGCATTGAAGCTCATTTCAGAGGGATGGGAGGGCTGGTACTTGATATAAATGATATMCGTTGCCTACAGAATTGATTTCTGCTTGATATACTTGTTTGGAATAGATACAGTAACAGAAGGAGTAATTGGCTTTGTCAGTTAAAGCCTGCATATTTTGTGCAAAATATTCAAAGGCAATTTCCTCCAAGCCCTAAGATGCTTGAAACATTCAGATTTACAGAAAGCTGAATTGACAGAAGAGAATTTGGCTGGCAGAAAGTAGCTGAGCACGTGAAGTGTAAGGCTGCTTTGTTTTGGAGTCATTTCAGTGATACAATTTTTAAAAGTACCTTTTTTTTTTTTTCCTTTTGATTTACTTTGTTCCTTGAGTTTGAAAGAATTCGGGCCCTTTTTGGGCATAATTTCTCCATTCTTTCTGAAATGCTTTTGAAGGATTTTGTGGAAATAATAAGCTGCAAATCTTACAGTATTTAGTCATGTTGATCCATGTCTGCATTTTAGTGTATGTAAGAGAGCTGTTGCTTGAAGTTGCGTCCTTATATTGGAGATGGAATGGTTGTAGGGTTTTTATGTCTGTTCAATGACTTTTTTAGAATCAGAGACAGAAAAAGGGTGGAAAAGGTCCCTAAGAAGATGAAGTCTAACTGTGAATGTATTAGTATTGAATTATGCTGGTCCTTCTCTGGAAAAGCAGGAATAAGGCATGTCTGAGTCGGATCAGTGGAGTTTTAAGGTTATGTTTTTATGGTAGAAGCAAGGATAATGTCCTAGTGTAAATAAGCAGCATCATGTTAATAAGGTCATATTTTCTTCTGAAATTGCAAAGTKTCATCCATGTTGTTTATAAAATGTCTTAAATTAGGAAACGAAAGAGTGCTGAAAATAAGAAAGACATAGCCAGCAGTAGCATGTTGAGGGTAGCATTGAAGTGTGTCCATGCTGTGGAATAAAAAAAACCTACTGAAAGTAATGAAATTTAAGGTGGCAACACAGGTTGTCTTCTTTCATATAGTGAATGATACATTAACACATCAGAAATCTAGCAAATCCTCCTTTTCATTCTATTGAAACTGAAGAAAAAATAGTTAATTCAGTAAGGATATGCCTGGCAAATATGGCAGGACCTGGGCGTGATATATAAAAGGGATTTTACAGTGAGCTCTGCCTTACATGGCGAGGTTAGTTTGACTACTTGGGAGTAGAGGAACTGATACTCTTTGCAGTGAATGTAGGCAGCTGGTGACTTTAGAAAATCTGTCCTACTTTGGCTTAGTAAAGTTTTTCCAGTAATATAACCTTTTTTTTTTTAAATCATAATGGTCTCCCATTTTCCTCCAATATACTGTTCATTAAATATGGTAAGTAGATTCCGAGAAAATGTTCAAAGAAGTAAAGATTCTTCACTGATAATTTTAAAGTCAGAAAAAAAGCAGTATTGACTTACACTACTTGTCCTGTGTTACATAGACAAAGTAATTTCACGATTAAGCTCTGAAAAAAAACCGAACTTCCTTCATGTTTCCAAACTGATAACTACAGCTATCAGGCTGATCCTTTGGATGTGAAAGTTATGAAATCAAGCATTTAGAAATTCTTAAGTCCTTAAACTTTGAGTACTTAAAGTGTTTAAGTACTTAAAGTACTTTCTTAAGTACTTAAACTTTGTTGCCTTTACAAGTCCTATTGGTAATAGATGGTATCATACAGCCTGCGTGCTCATATCTTGCACCTTTTCTGTGGAAAGGATTTTCCGTGAACTGGAGATGAATCATAATTGACTTTTAGGGCAGAGGATTTATGAGTCATTGTACTTGTGTTTCAGTCACGTTTCTAGTGCAGAATAGGCAGTGAGGGCACAGAGGTAGAGGAAGTAAAAGGAAGATAAAGATAGTTAATATTTCCAGTTATGGGTACTGAAATGTAATCTCCTTTTTTCTGTGTTTATTTTGAAATATTCAAGCTTTCTAACTTGAAGAAAGTAGTAATATTTGAGTGTACCATAAAAATGTTAATGAAAGTAAACTTTTTTCACAAAAGCAGCTATTAACTATTTAAGGAAATAGAAGGTGATCGGTCAATACTGTAWCMTTGTCATGTCTAATGGAACATGCACTGAAGAGAATACTTGACGAGAATGTTTCACTGAGAAGCCCAACTACTCTCATTAAAAAAAACTTTTTCAAGGGAGGTCCCTCATGGATTTTCTGTGTGTGAAACTCAGAGAAAGGTTGCATACCAGAGTGAGCATAGTGGAAATCAGTTTAAGTTCTTTAAAGTTCAGTTTAAGTACTTTAAAATGTAAGTGAGCTTCTTAATCTTTAATGTTTTTTTCTGCGGAATAAGCTGCAGAAACTACATGTGAAATTATAATAGAGATTGTTTCATGCAAACTTCCCCAGTGACTTAAAGAATTGAAATGCCTACTGAACGTGTCCCTGAACAACCTGCTGTGGCTGACTGTGCTTTGAAACCTGGGTGAAATGAAGAGTCTTCAGTTGTCATGCCACCTTGAACTTCTGTTTCTCTCATCCTGTAGAATGTAGATACTCACAGCTCTGTAAATTAACAGATGAAACTGTTGGTCATTGTTTTCAAGTTTATGTTTAAAAGTAGGCTATTGATAAACTCTTAAATGTCTTTTGTGTTTGTGGTTTGGTAGTTATTTTTTTGTTGTTGTTGTTTTCTTT